CCACTGCTCTCATGCCTGGCTCTGTTTCCCTATAGCTCCGTCTCCCACTCGGTGCTGTCTGAGATGCAGGTGATCGAGCAGGAAACCCCAGTGAGTGCAAAGTCCTCCCGCTCGCAGCTGGACTTGTTTGACGATGTGGGGACTTTCGCCTCTGGACCCCCAAAGTAAGGCTGTTGTTGGGGTGCAGACTTGGCCACCATGTTCCTCATCAGCCTTCTCTGAGCCACTCTACTGTTTCCCTAGGTACAAGGACAACCCCTTTTCCTTGGGGGAAACTTTTGGTTCCCGCTGGGATACAGATACCACCTGGGGCGTGGACAGGATGGAAGAGAAGGAGCCTGAAGTCACCATTTCAAGCATCCGGCCTATTTCAGAAAGGTGGAGTGGTCTAAGGCAGAACTGTCCAGTAGAACTTCCTATGATGATGCAAGAGTTCTGTATCTGCACTGTCCAGTGTGGTGGCCACTAGGCCTGTGGCTACTGAGCCCTTCAGATGTGGCCAGTGCAACTGAAGAACTGCGTTCTTAATTTAAATAAATTTAGATAGCCACGTGGTTATTGGCCACCGGATTGGACAGTGATCGGGCTTTGGATTAAGCTGTGCTCATGACAGGCCTGGCAGCCTCCTCTTTTGTTCAAGGTCCGTTTATCTGATAGGAGGGGCCTGATGTTATGCTTTAGTCCCGACTTCCCGAGGGTTGTGTGTCTCTGGCCCCCATGTTATTATTTACATATTTTTAAAATGTATTTTCTTAACAGCTTATTCCACCTTAAATCTGGGAAATGTTTAATTGATAAATTACCTGCAAATGATCCCTTTGTAAAATGGGAACATAAGTAATGACTTCACAGGGCCTCTGGAAAGATTAAGTGTAATGAAGCTTGAAAACACCTAGCCCTGTGTCTGCGTATCAGTGCTAGGTAGGAGTGACCATACACCTTTTCATTCACACATTGGGATGTTTCTGAGAGTAAAAAGGGGTACCATAACAATTATGCCGGGAGAGAAAGTATAAATGCAGGCAAACCGAGACGTGGTCACCTTAGTGTTAGGCCAGTTGTAACTAGGAATAGAGTAGCAGTAGTGACATGACATTCTTGACCTTGATGAAGCTATAGAGATTTGGGGCTGCCTAGGGAGGTGACATAAGCTCTCTAGGCCTTGGCTTCAATGTGGAGAAGGCAGGGGCCTCATCCAGGGGAGAGGGCCCTTGGTAAGCACCCCCAGATTTGCCTCTGGTAGTAACGGGACAGTGCTCCTCTCCCCTGATAATAGAGGGAAGGGTCAGAGATGGTGTCCCACTTCTATCCTCAGAGTCACAAACCGGAGGGAAGTGGAAAGCCGGAGCTCAGGCCTTGAGTCCAGCGAAGCACGTCAGAAATTTGCAGGAGCCAAAGCCATCTCATCTGACATGTTCTTTGGGCGGGAGGTAGATGCCGAGGTAAGTGGAGCTGCCCACCCTGAGGCTGGAGGCAGCAGGAAGAAGCAAGGCCTTCCTCCCTGCGCCTGCTCTGGGCTCTAGCACCAGAGTGGCTCGGCCTGTATGAGTTCATGGTCATCAGCCAGAAGACCCCCAGGCCTTGCCTTTTTTTCACCACAGTATGAAGCCAGGTCTCGGCTACAGCAGCTCTCAGGCAGTAATGCCATCAGCTCTTCAGACCTCTTTGGGGACATGGACGGAGCTCATGGAGCAGGTAGGGCCCCAATGGTGTGGTAGGCACCAAGCAAGGCCTGTGAGTAGAGCTGGAGGGCCTGTGACTGGGAAGGGCTCCCTGCAGGGCTCTGGGTCACCCCTTCCTTTGCATTTACAGGTAGCGTATCTCTGGGGAATGTGCTCCCCACAGCTGACATTGCCCAGTTTAAGCAGGGTGTCAAGTCTGTGGCCGGGAAGATGGCTGTGCTGGCCAATGGTGTGATGAATTCTTTGCAGGTGAGGGTGGGGCCGCTTGACCTTGGGTGGGAGGGGCCTAAAGAGTAGTGCTTTGAGGTTGGCCTCCTCCAGGACATCTAGACATTGCTGCTGGGTAGCCCCTGGGCCTGAGAGAGCGAGCATTTTTTCCTGGAGGGGCAGCTTCCTGCCTTTGAGCTTAGTAGCAGGGCTGGGCCTCTCCCTAAGAGGATGCCAAGTCCGCCCTGATTTCCCCGTGTTGTCACCTGTAGTCTTCTCTCTCCCCAGCTTCTGTGAGATCAGCAGGGCTTCCCCCTTGGGACTGGCCCCCTCTTTCCTGGGTCACACTAAACTATAAAACAGTCTCGGCCATAGTGAGATAGGTTCCCCACCCCCGCAGCCCTGCCCTGTACCCAGCCCTGCCAGGTGTGTTGGGGGAGGCTGCACATGCTGGGAAGCGGCTGCAGGTCAGAGATGCTGACTTTGTTTTTTCTCCCCCATCCCAGGATCGCTATGGTTCCTACTGATCAGGCTCCGTGGCTCAGGCTTATGGTTGTGACGGCAGCAAAAACCCCATGATCACCAGGCCAGGGATGCCTGCTTTGTGGAAGCTGGGGAGGAACTGTTACTTATGTGTGTGGTGTGTGAGTGGGTGGCCTTTGAGGGTCTTGAGTGAGGCGGATGGGCGGTACCAGCTCTTGACCTCTGCCTGTAGAGTGAGCCCTTTATTCTTCTCCCCTCACATCCTTTCCTGTGTGCTAGATTATTGTCCTTCCGGTCTGGCCCCCAAAGCTGCTGCTCACTTGTCCTGCCACACTGGGAGTGAGGGGAGGGCATTCCCTCAGGATGGCTTATTCTGGGTCCAGGCTTTCCCTGAGTAGGGAAGGTGAAAGGTGGAAGGCTTTTGGCGGGCTCTAGGATCCTTCCGGGTCATCGGGGGGGTTTGGCCCCATCCTCTGGAACCAGTAGGGAGGTCTGGAAAGTTCTGCTGTAGACTAGCCCCCAGAGGAGGCCCTGGACTTGCTGCTGTTGCTCCAGTGGCCTCTTCTGGGTACCAGGAGGGGGCAGGGGAGGAGAAGGACCTTCGTCTGGGCCTTACTAAGGGTGAGAAACTTGACCTGGTACCTAAAGGTTTAATTTGGGATCAGACTGGAGGCCTGAGTGATGGTCTCCTGTGTCACCCCCTTTACAGTGGTCACTTGGAGGATTACTTTGCCTCCTGAGTGTCTTGGAGTCCTTCCTTACCACCCATGTGGACCCCAGGACCCTCTGTCCCCTCCTGAGACTGTCCTTTCTTCCTTGCTTGGTGGCCCTGGTGGCTCATTGGCCCTTGATGGATGCTGTGAGCATAATGCTGGCCAAGGAAGCAGAGGACGTGAGGGACAGAAGCGGGCTCCCGGGGCTCAGCTTGCCTTCCTCTCCATCAGCCTGGATGGCACCCACAGAGAGCTTGAGGCGCCAACAGAGCCGCAGGCCTTGTGTCCTGGCCACTGGCCATGCACTGTGTCATCCTTGGTGCCATCTTGCCCTGCCGTGCTGGCAGTCAGGACCCACCCCACCCCCTGCGGGTTGAGGTTGGGCTCCCAAGCAACACAGACCACTCTTCCAGCCACCCCCTCCCTCCCAAAGGGACTTGACTTTCTTTCTGGACTGTTTGTATTGAAACATAGTGGTGTCAAATAAAGCCCCGCCGGGGCCCGGGCCCCTGATGGTCTGAGTGAAGTAGTGTCCTCTCTGCATCCTGCCTCCCTGACCGGTGCAGGCCCCTTGCCTCACTCTCTGGGTTCCCACCGATACAGGTAGGGCGTTGGTGCTGAGGCTGAGAGCACTTTCTCCAGGACCTCCAGCTTGTCTCTTCTCTGAAAGCCAAAGGCCCCTGGCTCCGTGGCCCTGTGCTGCCGCGAGGTCCGGTGCAGCCTCGACCTCACCACCCTGTTGCACGCGGAGGAAAGAGCTGGTATTAGTTGGCCCTTTAACTTGTCCGCTGAGCCATGTGTCTGTGGGTAGGCGAGCAACCTCAGCAGCTGTACACCTAATCCCAATGGCAGGCCAGACGGGGGGTGTTTCTTAGTGGAGTTTAATAGTAAAATAAACAAACCTTAATGGGATCCTTTTAAATCCAGGAAAAAAGGATGTGTCTGTATAACCCCTGGCTTGGCAACCGCTTTCCCCTATAGGGGCTCTTGGAACCTCTGCCACCTTAGGGGTCCTTGGGGTAAACACCGATCTGGAAGATGATTAATTAGAAAGGATAGGTGGAGGGAGCCAGGGGGCTCTAATAAGCCAGTGATTTCCAAAGCATGGATCTGGGACTTCCGGCTTGGGAATGGTCTGGAGTGTTCATAATCCAGGTTCTGCCCCATTCCAAGCTGGAGTTTGGTCATTTGCCTTGTAAACAAGTTCTCCAAGTGATTCTGATCCCAGAATTTCCCAGCTGCTTTCTGTCTGCAGGAGGCTGGAGAGGATTGTGTGCCTACAGCTTCGGCTGGACCGGAAGTTCTGGCCCTGGCCTGGCATCACAGGGCTTTGGGGGCCAGTTCCTTAACTATCCGGGGGGCTGGGCTGGGCAGAAATGAGCGCAGGAAAATGTGTGGGCCCAGTGGTGGTGACCCTTGGCTTTGCTTCGGAGGAGGCAGCCTGCTCTGGGTCCATGGGTGGGTTTTACTTAAGGACCCCTGCCCAGTTCAAGGAAGCTGGACACTTGTCCGTGCCTTCAGTTGGCTGGAGGCTTATACTCCGCAGGCCCGTCGTGTTCACACTGCCCTGACGCTGAGCAGGAGCTTGGCAAATGTTTAATGAAGCTCGCTAGAAGGTTCTGCAGTACTGACCCTTTGTGGCCAGGGTCTTTATAAAGTTATGGGGGCTTGGCCTTGAACCCTCTACTTGCTTCCTGAAGGCCCTTTCCGGCTGTGAGCACCTGTCCTTTGAAAGGCTGCTGTCACATGCAGGAGGTAATAAGCCGTCTGTTCATTATCTGAGGCAGGTCTCCAGGCATGGGTGGTCCTCTGGCCCCCACCTCCCAGTCCCCCCAGAAAAATGGACTCAGTACCAAGAACCCAAACTCACCCATTCCCTTTGCCCCCTCCTCAGTCTAGTGGCTTTAGACTCCACTTACCAGACGCAAGGGACTTTATTCATTTCACATTTAACAGGAGACTTGAAGCAGTTTTTGAAAATGAAATGTCCTACTTGCCCACCCTTCATCCTATGACCAGTGGCTATTCCTCCAGCAGAAGGCCACTGTGATCATGTCCTCCCAATACTGGCACCACTGGTATCACCTGAGCATGCAAGGCCCTCCATGGCTATTGATGGTCTTCCCCCTTCCTGGAGTTGCTGTGAGGAGATGAACCTCATGTGGGGACCATCAGCAAAAGGCTAATGCCAAGTTCAATCTGCTGTCAGCTTGGGGTCGGACTAAAGCGCAAAGGCTGACAGGGACAGGGAGAGTAGGCTGTTGGCTTTCTTGGGTCACTGCTTGGGGTTGGCTGGTATCAGAACCCCTGGGGCAGGTCTTAGGCTGGGGCTGTTATTCAGCATTTCACCAGCAGAGGGCAGCATGGCTTGGGCGGGAGAGAAGATTGGGCAGGAGTCCCAAGGGCTGGGTGGGAGCTGGGTACAGGGTGTTGTAGACAGCACCCTTCAGACTCAAGTCTCGGACTCGTCTGTCTCTTCTGTGGAGCCATCACTCTCTGCATCCACTTTGCGGGCATGATGGAGGGATCTCCAGGAAAAGCCAACCCGGTGAGGAGTCCGAGAAGGCAGGCAGCTGGCCTCTGCACTGGCAGTGACTGAGTTGACGAGGCCTGGGATCTGGGCCAGCCTGAAGGAGGGAAGAAGCCCAGAGGGCAGCAAGGTGCTTCCTGTCCAGAGACCAGGACCTCCGCACTGTTGCATTTAGATGAAACCATAGGCTGTATTCCCAAGGGACTCAAAGACAGGGTACCTCGGGCCTCTGCTGGCCCCCAAGCCCTTCCCTGACTGATAAGAGGGTGTTATGGACAAGTGCTGTGTGCCCCATGATGGGGCATTGCCATGGCCCACTGAGTTTGGCGCCCACAAGGGGGCAGCATCTCCCCATTTGACACTTACAGCCGTTCCAGCTCCTCATCCATGGCTGGGTCATGCATCAGGTCCGCTTTGTCAGGCAAAGCTCCTAGGAGATAATTGGGGGCACAGAGCTTGATACGAGGGTCCTTCGGCCAGGCTCCAGTCAGCCAGCCCCATTCCCAGCAGATGCCTCCGTGCCCTCACCTTGATGTCCACACATTCTGCGGACTCGGAGGGCTGACTTAAGACACGGGAAGAGCTCTTAAGAGAACTGCTATGGAGGCAACAGAGTCTCGGGTACTGCTGGGTACGTTCAACAGTTATTACATTTCATAACTCCAATGCGTGCCCTCCCCTACTTGGGGCGGAGACCACAGCTAAGGAGACATCCCCAAACATCAAGGTCACTGCACAAGTGGCAATCCCCTTCCAAGACTGGATGGTGGGCTGTGAGCTGGTGTTGGGGGGTTAGACCTACCTAGAGGCCCCAGGTATTGGGCTGAAGAGGAGTCAGAGACACAGGAAACGGCTCAGGCTAACCACGAAGACCAGATAGTATTGAGATTTGTGCCCCCAAATCAGGGTGATCCCACTTGGAAGATAATGGTAAAAAATGCTGCCTCAGCCCCTCCAGGGAGGGTGCCAGGGGTGAGAAGACGAGCCTGGGTCAGGGGCAGACCAAACTCTCTGGCATGGCCGGAAGCCGCCAGGAGGAGAGCTGTCCCATCTCTGCTCTGCCACAAATCTCAGCTGGTCCCCTCAGCTATAAACTAAGGGAATTCATTCTTTGATATTGGGGAGAGGTGAGGGGAGTGAGTTTTGGATGCTCCCCGGAGCTGTTAACAGTGGGAGGGAAGGTGGAGCTGAAGTTTGCAGATAGAAAGAGGCTCAGCAGCAAACTGCTGAAGGAAAAGCGCTCGCTGGTGGTCAGAGCCTACGGTAGATCCGGCAATTAACAAAGCTGGTCTCGAGAAAGTCTCCGTCTTAAAGTCACCCACCTGGCTCTAGTTCAATTGCCAACTTTTCCAAAGCTTTTTCAGAGGTTGCCTCATGGTCCCTTTTGCTCTGAGTTGGTGGTTTTCAAACTATGTTCCATGGAACCCTCTCATGTTGTGGTGGGGTGCCTTGAGGACTGAAGGAACAGGAAAGCCCCTCTCTACAACTGGCTGCAGCCAGAGTATCTCCAGTTCTTTATTTCATACCCTGGAGACTCAAAGGAGGGCAGAGACCACATGGAGTCTCCCACTCCACCCAGCACTAGTGCTCTGTAAAAGTGGCTGAATGAGTGACTGTCCTTTTTAAAGGCCCTAGCGAAAGCGAGGGCATGCGGTTAGTCCAGGCTGACTCAGATGCTAGTTAGCTTTTGCTTTTCCGCCCCAATGGCTGTGACTGGTGGAAAGGATGGTCAGTTACCTAGGAGTGTGAAATGACACCTAAGCAAATCCCCACCTGCCACCCCCTTGCTCTTGACTCCTTTCTACTCTCTTCAGCCAGTGACCCTGGCTACCCGCCTCGCTGCTGAGGGGTCCCCAGACCTGTGCAAGCCCCAAGGATTGACTCAGAACAACTAGGCTGCCAGGTAGCATCATGCCTGAATGAGCCTCCAGTTAGTCCTGTGGGGGTGTGTGCTCCCCTGAACCCCAGAGCACCCCCGGCAGGCTCTATATCACATATGCTCTAAAGTGTCTAGCCCAGTACTTGGCCTACTGTGGCTGGCATTTACCGGGCGTTACATTTCCTTCCCTGACTCCATTGCCTCAGCTGGCAAAAGGCAGGGGGATGCTGGATGTCTCTTCTTTGAGACTCAGGAACCTGGGATCCCAAGCACACCTGGATACGTTTTGGGGAGAGAGACAAATAAGAACCCTCCAGCTCCACTGGTGGCTCTTCTAAGAGAGCAGTGCACGCGGGAGGGGATTGGGGAGTCAGTGGAGAAGGCCAACCTATGAGAAGCTCCCTACTGCCTCTCCTCCCTTTCATGTTAGTCAGACTTTTTCTTCCCAGCTGGGAAAAAAGTCTCCCCAGACACACCTCTGCCCTGTTTACAAATGGGATTGAGGTCGCTTTGATATATAATCTCCAGAGCCCCTGAGTAAATAGTCCTGTGTCTGCCCAACCTACAGGCCACTCCCCAAAGCAGAACTGGGGATTCTCTGCAGAGGGGCTGGGCACGCCTCTGCCAGTGGAGTGGCTGCTTCATGTTGGGGCAGGGCCTCGGGTGGGGAAGGGTGTCCCTTGCCATGGGAGTGTGACAGGCCTAAGAGGGCAGGTTTGTGTTGTGTGCATTCCCGCTCCCTGGGTCTCAGAGTCTGGCCCTGAGAAGTCAAGACAGAGATGGTGATGCCTCTTCCTCATGGGCACAGTCTGCCAAAAGAGGCCAGCTCCTGCTAGGTTTTGTATTGTGGGGCCAGGAGAGGCTGGCCACAGCTAGCTCTGGCTTACCTAGGGCTTGGTTGATTCCATGATGCTTGGAGAGAGCCATAAGGAATCCATAGAAGGTCAGTCTCTGAACGTTGCTTAGGACCTCTTTGATGAGTGCTGGGGGTGGGCAGCTAGAAGAGAGAAACCATGCCAGATTCAAAGACTAGCAAGGCTGAGTGCCATCTTTTCATCCATACCTTCAGGTTTAGGAGGACGCCCAAATCCAAGGCAAAGGGGCCTGCCTGCCCCGGGGCCCTAAGACCCTGGGGGAGCATGGCAGATGGCCGGGAGCAAGGCCGTGACTGTGGACACAAAGGGCTGGCATGTTCACCAACTGGTGCTTTCCCTGGGAGGGAGGGGAAGGAGGAGAGGAGGAGACGGCAATAGGTGACAGCCTCTTCTTGGAAGAGACCAAAAATGGCTGCTCTGTCCCCAAGGGGACTTTGTGCCACACAGGACAGCTTATCCCTCCCTTTCTGTAGAGTGAATTCCTTGTCCAGTGATTGTTTTTCCTTCTCTCTAAAAAGTCAAGGCCACTCTATCTCTAGGGAAGGAGAAAGGGGCCACGCTGGTCACCTCAGCTGGTCTTGCCCAAATGAAGCAATCTTCCTAAGTGAGCCACCTGGGCAGCCTTTTGGTCAACAGGCTGGTCTTGGGTAAAAGGCACTGTTCTGATTTCTACTCTGACCACCGAGGGCCCTAGAAGCCCTGGACCATGCAGAACATCCTGCTAGAAATCTGTTCCAGGGCCAGCAGCCTCCAATCTCTGGGCACAAGGTGGGGTCTAGTGCCCGCTTCTCACCTGTACTTGTGCCGGTCACACAAGTTCTCCAGGCACTGGTAGAACAGGGACGCCTCGACCCCCTCTGGCATGCTGGCCTCACCCACGGCAGGCCGCTGGCGGTGCTGCCCGCTGGATGACGTCGGCACAATCACCGTGTTGGGGTTCTTGCCTGACAGGAGGTCCTGATAGATGGCAGCCACACTCTCCAGGAACTCTGGGGACCACAGGTGGAGGGGCACAGGTCAGGCAGGGAGGACACACTTTGTCCCTTCACTGTGTCTTCCCTTCTCTGTTAGCTCAGCTCCATGCCAGCACCCGTGCTCCGTGCCTGGTGTCCTTAACCTCATGTTAACACCACACTCAGGAGAGCTGACACCAATGTGTGTTTCAGCTCAAATGTCCCCTCCTCTGGGCAGTTGTTCCTAGACCAGGTGAGATGCCCCCTCACATCCACAGCACCCTGTGCTTCTCTGTAGCACTTACTCAGTGATGACTTTTCTGAGTAATTATTTACTTTGTCTCCTTGCTGGCATGGGAGGTCCTCATACAAAGGCAGGCACCATGTCTTGTCAACCTTCCTGGGGCACCTGGTGGTATTGGGCCTGGCACATAGTAAATGGCTATAAATATTTTTTAAGAGTGAAGGTGTTCATACTGTCACTGGTAAGCCATCTTGTGAGGCCACCCAACTCTGACTCGAGAACGCATGTTGGAATATCAGTGTAGAAGAGAAAGCCTGCAAACTGCTAATTTGTTAAACATTTGAAATCGTTTTCAAATTTTAGTAGCTGAGCCATTGTTAGTAAGCAGTAACTTAAGGCCCACCTGACCGCTGACTGACACGTACCACTGGGCAGTAGTGACTCTCGGGGACCCAACGCTGCTGCCCTGTCCTGGGAGCGCTGTGAGAAGGGGGCCTGGGAGGCAGAAAGGGGACACGGTTCTCTCAAACATGGCTGCTCCTCTAGGGCCCAAGAGCTCCAGTGAAGTGGGAAATCAACTGCCGGGAGCTGCTAAGAGCAGGACATGAGTCCCCAGGCTCCAGGTCCTGCCTGACCAGGCCTTTGGGCTGCCATCAAGAAAAGAGAATGTGGCGCCTGAGTGAGGCCAGGGCTGGCTGGGCCACCAGTTGGCAGGAAGGCCACATCTAGGCTCCAAGGACAGCCTTCTGTTTACTGGAAGAGCCCATTTTAAACAAGTTTGTTTATGGATATAGTCAGCAATTTCTAACCCCGACATTCCATTTGCTGTTGCTGTGTGTGAGCTGCTGTGCATTTGGATTTATTTGTCTATTTTTATTCCACCTGATTCCAGAAGGGGTGTAAGGGCACAGCTGGTGTGGCCTGGGGAGCAGGGTGGGAGTGTGAGATAGGACTGCTGTGTGCTAATTTACAGCTGTGTGGGTGGGAAAATGTGTGCCCACATATGAGTCAAGGCCAAGGAAGGCAGCTCCGATGGCGGTAATACAGCGGTGCCAAGGGGCACTGGCCTGGGTGTGAGTCCTCTGTTCAAGTCTGGGCCCCACCACTTCTTAGCTCTGCAACTTTGGCTACTTGCTCTGTAAGCTTATCTCTTAAAGGACCTATCTCTTAGGGCTGTTGTAAGGATTAAAGTCCTGGGTGCTATGCCTGGCACACAGTATGTTTTCAGGTATTGTTACAACGGTGTGTATTGCTGTTGTTACTGTCGTTATCACTTCAACTGATTTGGGGGCACTGCTGACTGGGCGCACTGTGGTGTTCTGTGTCTTGAAGAGGCTCAGGGAGCAGGCTCCGCAGATTGAATCCTGTGACCTCCAGCCACGAGAGCTAGACATCCAGTTAGTGACCCAGGGTGCAGCACACCACCGAAGGAGGCGCGGGAGAGAAGTGTGTGTGTGCCAGGCACACAGAGGGGATGGGCAACAGGGTACGAGAGGAGATGTGGTCCGACAGGAGCCACGTGGGGTCCTGGAAGACTCTCACCTGAGTAGTAAAACTGGATCTGGAAGGCAAAAAGGAAATCTGAAAAAGACATCAAGCAGTCCATGGCATCATCCATGAGGACAATCCTGAGGAGAAAGAGAGAAAAATGTGTGTGTGTGTGTGTGAGAGAGAGAGAGAGAGAGAGAGAGAGAGAGGGAGAGAGAGGGAGAGAGGGAGAATGTGTGATTGAGCCATTCCTGGGGCTCTAGTCTTCCTTGGGGGCAGCATTGGGAGAGGGCTCCCCTAAACAAGCTCCTCCCAGTCACCTCACTTCTTCTCCATCAGTTGGGCTCTGCAACCAAACTGAGCTGACCACACTACCCAGGGCAGGCTCCCAGTTCAGTCTCTGTGGCACCAGCTAGTGGATGGGGCATGAGGAGGCAAGGAGTGGGGGTGGGCAGCAAGGAGAGGGTGCAATTGTAACGCAGCCAAGGTTTCTTTTCATATTCTGAAGCAGTAAATCCTTTCATCCTGCAGTGAGGACCATTTAGTTCAGAATAAATACAGCTGATCAGAAAAGGCAAGAACAGCCAAGAGGTTTAAAGGGGTCTTGGCAAGTGGTACTGAGACTGAATAAGCTACCAAGGGCCAAAAGAGCTACGGGCACTTTCATCCTGGGACACAGATGGCAGAAAAGGAACAGGGTGCAGAGCTGTTGGGGACTCTGCACTTCAGAAGGCCAAAGAACACACCCCATCTCGCGATGTCGTGGTGACCACTGCCCCTCCTTGCTGTCCACTCTTACAAGTCGACCCCTCCCACTGCGCACCCACCTCGCAGGAAGAAAACCTTGTTGACGACGAAGGGATCAGGCCAAGGCCATATTCACACTCTGCTCAGGCCCTCATCAGAGAGGACAGGAAGGGAAGGGAAAGAGCACTGCTGGGCTCCAGCGTGTGCCAGGCAGGGCGCCAAGCTCATCTACTGAAGGGGAGCTGGGCCCCCAATCTGTTTCTGACTGGGCCTTTATCTTTACTTAAAAAAAGTTTTATTTTGCTCTGTCGTGTATTTTCATAAGTCTCTCTCCGCTTCCCTGTGTCAGAGGGCCCCCAAACTGGGAATTGCGTCAGCTCCTGAGCGAGCCAGCACTGCCCACCTCTGGGGAGGGGGCTTTGGAGAGGATGTAATGTGAGCGGTACCCCTGGAATTCTGCAGGGCAGCTGGCCCTGGTTTCAGATCTCCCTGAAGAGTGAGTGAACGTGGGTCCTACATCTAGTCTTCAGTTGAGCTAATAACAGTAGAAACTACCTACTTCACGACAGGCACTGTGCAAGGAGGGTATTTAACCTACATTAATTAAATATCCCACAACAACCCTACGAGGGGGGGGGTCTTCTTATTATTCCCACTTTACAGGAAGAGACTAAGTCTCAGGGAAGTTAACGTGCTGAGGTCACACAGCTGGTGAGTTCGCTGGACTCCACAGGCCATGGACTTTCCATTAGGTCACACTGCCTCTTTTAAAAAACATTTACAATAATACCTTGGTTTGCGAGCATAATTCATTCCGGGAACAAACTACTCATATTGCAAGACATCGTTCGTTTACCACGTTAAAATGTATTAGAAATGTTTGCTTGTCATGTGGAACACTTGCAAACCACGTTACTTACAATCCAAGGTTTTACTGTATTTCTTAGTTTCTGTGGCTAATTTATCTCTGTTCTTTTCACCTATATCTTAAAGCCTAACTGTCTCTCATGTATCTCTTGGGGAAGAAAAAAACTTGCCCAAACTACCAGGGTTGAACATTAAAATTCTAGCTGGAAAAAATTCAAGGCCCGAGGGTGTGAAGACGCAATACTGCTGATAGCCACAGGAGGGCGTCCTGGTCCCTTCATCAGTGGCTGGTGGGACCAAGAGCTGAGCCACAGGCTAAGCAATCACCCGGATGTCTCATAACCTGAGGAGAACCCAGGCAGGCAAAAAAGGAAGAGAAAGGGCACGAAGCCCCAATTCTATCTGGATGGGATGGGGGGAGACGCCAAAGAGGTAGAGAGAGGGCAGGTGGCGGGGACTGGGGTTGGCTGACCGCCAAACTACAGAGGACACATGAGCTCTCCCAGACTGCTCCGGAGGAAGAGCCACCAGCACCTCAAAGCTCTTCCGTCCCAGCCTCAGCAGAGAAGGAGAAGTCCCCAGAGGAGCGAAGCCAGTGACCGTTCCTTCCTGCCTTACTCCCAGGACAGCTAAGAACTCAGATGGCCTGAAGTTAATTACTAAGGAAGAACGCTAGGCTGAGAACATCCCCAAGCAGGAAACCACGAAGGGGAGCCGAAGCCTTTGAAGATGTTACTTGGCTTCTCTTGTTTATCATCAACCTGGACCCAGTGCTCCCGTTTATAGCAGTTACCTCCACTTACTATTTCCTACTCGACCTATGTGTTCATTTATTTATATTGCAACACAATTCAAATACCGGTCAAATTCACCCTTTAAAAGTATACATTGTTTTTTGAGTATATTCACAAAGTTGTGCAAACACTGTCTAAATCCAGAATTTGTAATTCCGCTAACCAACATGCTCCCGAGACAAGCCCTGCCACACCAGGGCTTCCAAGACAACGGCCATAAACATCATCTTCTCTCAGCCACAGAAAGGACTAGGAGCTGCAAACAGGGCCCGCCCTTCCAGCCTGCAGCGTTCAGGCCAGGGTCACTCTTGACTGAGCCTCAGCGCCCTTTTTAAAAGATGGGCACCTGGGGACGAGCAAGAGCATGGCCAGCAGAGAGCAGGAGACCCACCAGTGCAAGGGTGGCAGTCTCTGTGGAGGAGGGCAGCCCTGTGTGCCCTGGTCTTGACCCCTGCTCCTTGGTGGGCTGACACTTATACCGGTCAGGTGGGACCAGCAGGGGCTTTCGTTCTGAGGGACAGGTGGCTGGGTCCTAGTAGCACATGTGAAAAGGACTGAGGGGTTTTCTTGATTGCAACCAGTGAGACAGGCTGCCAGAAAAGCCAATAGGATCTCCGCTTTCTTTACCAGCAATACCACCCACTACCCTGCTCAGCCAGGAACCTGGGAGTTCTGCTGACATCCTGGAAACTCCCTGGCCCACTCACGTCCATCAATCACCAAGTCCTGTCAGTCCTACCCCTGCCATTTCTCTTGAATCCATCTCCTTCTTTCTACTTCCACAGCCACCATCAGACACTCGCCTCCACCTCTGTTTCCCGGACAACGGGGTGGCCTCCTACCTGGTTCCCGGCAACCACTCTTGCCTCCTTCTAAGTGAGTAGCCACACTGGGCTCAGAAAGATCTTGTTTAAAATGTGAATTTGACCATTTTACAACTCTGTTTAAAGCCCTTCACAGGCTTCCCATTGCCCTTAGACGGGAATCCGCCGTTCTTACCCATGTTCCCCCCTCCGCCTCTCCTCTCCTCTTTAGATTTGTGGGGGCCACAGGCGGCATCTCTCACTCTATTCCAGCCACACGGACCCTTCAGCTCTTCCCAGCGCTCCCTCAGGCTCTTCGGATAAGCCAGACCTTCCACCTATAACGCTCCCCGCCGTCCACGCCCCTCTCCTCACCTACCCGACACGACCTCATTCTTCAGGTTGCGGCCTACACAGCACCTCTCTGGGAAGCCTGCCCTACCCCAGACCAGCTCCTCACACTGTTCATGTCTGTGTTTGCCTCAGGACTGGAAGATCCACCAGGTGACCTGTCTTGTCTCTCTGCTTGTTGCCTGAGTCCAGGCTCCAGCAGGGTACAGGGTACACAGCAGTCACTCAGCAGATATTTGCTGAATAAAGGAATGCACAAGCAAATGAATAAGAGGGGCCAGAGGACCCTTCAATTCTCCTGGCCAGGTGACATCTGGACAGTCCATTTAGGCTCAGAGAACAAGGGCTTAGCGTGGTGGCGAGTCTGCAAACCATGATGTCAGACAAATGACAGCATTTAGACCCTTGAGCTTGGAAGAGAAGACTGAGGAGGAAGTGAGGGCTGCCTCTGAGGAAGATGTCACAGGGATCTCGAGTTTGGCTCTAGAAGACTTTTTCAAGCTGCCCAGCTCTGGGATTGTGGCTGCTTTGTTAAGGAGTGAGTTCCTTGTTGCTGGACATATTCAAGCAGAGGCCTGAAGACCTGTGCTTCTCAAAAGCATGAAAGACCTTCTTCCAGCTCCGACAGAGTGTCATCCCAAGTGTGGACAGAACTAACAGCTTCTCCCTAGTGTTGGTTCTGGTGGGGAAAGAGTTTGCTGTTCAGAGGACTGTGGCAGCAGAAATGTCTGAAAGACTTGTAGAAAAGTGCTTTTAGAAACATCATAGGCTGCGCTGTCCATCTCCAAACTAGTGCTCTGACCCATGAAAATTCTGGGCATCTGGCACTGGGATCTTGGCAGGACTGTGGGAGAAGGCAGGCAGGGGGCTTCCACGTCTGTCTTTGCATTTGGTGACAGACACAACCCAAGGTTGTAGACCTGATAGCCCACAGACAGCTCCTTCACCCTGAACTCAAACTTGTCACCGCCCCAGAGGCCTCAAGAAGGAATCTCTTGGAGACGAGGTCATCCACATGTGCTGTTTTCCAGTTGATGGCAGTTGGCTCAACATCCCTTCCTGCCAGAGGCCTTCTGCTAACGTGCCAGCTGCTTCTGACACCTGGAGGAGCCGGGCCGCCCCTGCTTTGAAGTGGAGCCAATGGGGAGCCGCTGCCAACAAGAGTCTGTACAAATCTACTGGGTCGTGGAGGGATCCTTGCAGGCCACGTCTCTGGGCCAGAGAGAGGGACTCAGGGGGAGAGGGGCAGGCACTCCAGTTCAGGCTGGCTCTGAGCAGAACCATGTGAAGGGTGGGGTCCAGTGCAAGCAATGGAGAAAGAATGGAGAAAGAGCACTTGGCAGGGTCCAAGCTAATCCTAAGGGGGCTGGCCGCTCTCTCCCTCCGTTGCTGATTTCCAACAGCTGGGAGGGGCTGGCTGCTTGGGAGTTAAGTGGGTGCCAAGGAGGCAACAGCTTCCAGTCTGAACCTACTGACTTGCCAACTTCCCATCAGCCCCTACGGGTCAGTATTCCTGGCCTGTGGCACGAGCGGCCCCCATTTTCCTGCCATCCTGGGTTTGCAGTCCTGGGATCAGGTCCAGCTCCACCACTCATGGGCCAAGTTACCTTTTCTCTCCAAGCCTCAGTTTCCTCATCTGTGAAGAAGAGATAATCATAGTTCCTATTTCACAAGATCCTCGTGAAGAGTCAGTATGATGATGTACTGGGTATAATAAGCACCAAAATAACTGTTAGTTGCTATCAATAAGTGTACTCTAGTTGGTTTAAGATGCTGGAAGAGCTCAAAATAGCAAAGAAAATATATGGCTCAAGAGGAAGTCAGTGTTGCCAGCACCCAGCCGGGCAGAGGCTCTCAGGCGGAAGCAAGCTATCCTGTTTCGAGTCCACTTTTGGGGGAAGCCAGCCCTCAGCCAGGGCCAGGAAGAACAGCCACCTTCGATGACTGCACTTCTTCTGGTAGGTCATATGACCGGTGTCCTTTATGGGTGCAGCTGAAGTCCCCAAGTCCATTTGGATTCACAGTGTACCTCTGCAGTCTGTTTTGTTTTTTTTTTTT